CGATTGTTTTTAAAAAAAACAATGAAAACTAAGACAAACTTCTTTATTTAATAACTTTTGTTTACTTTCATGTAAAATGAATTTTCTCTAAACATTATACTATATAAGGGAATAAAATTATCAAAAAATTGTCAATTGTTTTTGCAAGTATCAACTGGAAAAGTTTTGGGAACATCAAAATGAAGTATTTTTGCATTATTTGAATAGGGTCACTTGAAATTGCCAAATGATTTCCAATAGTGAATACAGCAGTCTATAAACTGATCGACGTTAGTTCTAAAGTTATTAAAATGATAAGATCTATGAATAGATCAATACTTGGCTCTAATTACAGGTCACCGCAAGTATGTATTTAATTTATATTTTTTTTTGGTTAGCGTTTTTTGGCAAGTTAGTTTTTGATGGGATGAGGTCGCCAACCCCATGATCAACCCTCCTCCTTTATCCGAACATGGGACCGGCAGTGGCCTCGAAGGTTCTACTGGCGGAGTTGTCTTCGAAATATGCTTCGGATTCGTTGGTCAAACACTATCGCCAACGACTTACTGTGGGAGAGAACAAACCACATTCCAGTGGAGGAGCAAATCAGGAAGAAGCGAAGGAACTGGATAGGACACACACTGCGAAAAGCTTAGAAATGCGTCACAAAACAAGCCCTCATATGAAACCCCCAAGGTCAAAGGAAAAGAGGAAGGCCAAGGAACAAACTACACCAAGAAATAGAGAAAGACATGAGAAGAATGAACAAAAACTGGAAAGAACTGGAAAGGGAAGTCCAGGACAGAGTAGGTTGGAGAAAACTGGTGGGGAGCCTATGCTCCATTGGGGGTAACAGGAGTAAGTAAGTAGTAAGTAGGCAAGTATGTATTATCGTTCAATATTAAAGTTAAAATGACTAGCTATTGTAACAAACATTTAAACAAGGGATTTGTACGCAGCTGAAGCCAAACTGATTTACCATATCGAAGTTGATCATTACGTACAAAAGAGTTCTGTTTGGGTAACGTTAAATTAATTGCTACACATTTGAAATTTCAAGCATATATATGAAATCATAATCTGGCTTGAAATTACGGGTACATACTATCAATCCTATGGTTAGTATTGCTTCTGTAAAACGAAACAACACTACATTATTGAAATCATCAATTGATCAATGTTGGAGAATCGTTTGATACTTGAAACAATCGGACGGCTAATTCGTCCTAGTATAGGACTCTTCGACAGTGAGCGTTCGAGACCTTGCAAGCGGGGATCAAGCCTAGGGCCTTTGGTCTCGCGTGCGAACGCTTAGCTTCTAGACCACTGGATTGGCGTCCAATGATGTTAATGTCTAAATTGAAAACACTATATTACATATATTTAGTAACTTGACATTACCATCAGTTAGTTTTGTTGTATTACGCTTAATTTTTAAATCTGGAAGCTGGTGGGTAGATTTTAATTTTATTCCACTTGTGTAAAATTTAAATTTGCTGTTAATAAATAAAATGATATTAAAACAACAAACACTGAATGAACAGAAATTTGAAGATATCTAACTTTTTTCAGTGGTATTCCTAGATGTTTAGAAGGAATTTTGTTTGAAACACCTCATAGACTTAATACAACAGACACTAGAACGTTCAGACCGGAAGTTCTGTTGGCAGATATCTGTTGTACTCGTAAAAAACATGCATTAAGTTTCTTATGCACTTGTACACTCATTCAAACAACCCTCTACTTGCTCATAAATATCTTCTAATAAGTTATCCAATGATATTTAATGTTTTCAGTTTTACACGTATAGTTTGTTCAACTTCAGAAGAGACTAAGTCTGTTGTGAACTAACTATTTAAAACCATAATAGAAAAGAAAATAATCGGCTGTTAGTACACAACCTAACTAACTATACAATTCCATTAATATACCAATGAAATGGCAAACTAATTGCATTTACCATATACATTAAACTTTTATATCTTTCATTGAAAATTCTTAAAATCACCACTTTATTAAATATTCAAATATTTAGGAATAATTTGTTAATGTCACCGTTTACACACACTTTTATTCTATCCTTTTCGGTCTTGTTTAGTGCTTGTTTAAATAAATGTGAATTTCCAGAAAAAGAGAATTATCTTTTATCAAAATTTTATGTACAAACAAGTTTATTTAAACATTGTTGATGTTGTCCGGATTTAAATAATCGTTTAAATGAAATAAAATGATCTGTTTTATTATATTCACCAATTGATTATTCTCAAACGTTCATGAAAACCTTTTTATCCTATTTAACTGCTGTGTCATAAGACAAGCCTTCACTTAGAATCCTCAAGGTCAAAGGAAAAGAGGAAGACCAAGAAACACATTACGCCGAAAAATAGAGAAACATACGAGAACAATGAATGGAAAGGGAAGCCCAGGACAGAGTAGGTTGGTTAGTGCTAGTCGGCAGCCTATGTCCCATTGGGGGTGACCGGCGTAGGTCAAAAAGTAAAAAAAACTAGTTACTCGGATATGGTTTTAATGAAATCATTGTATATAAATAAAATGTGGTCTTGATTAAGAGTACTACTAATAATAATAATAATAACATTAAGTAGTAGTAGTAGTAGTAAACCACTTATTTCTTTTCAATTTATTGATCAGTATTCAATCTTTTTGCTACCATTCGTATATGCAGTGCCGCTAAATTACTCATGGCAATTGTGTTTGGCTGTGATTTCAATTCATTTAGTATTGATTGAATGTAGCTTCAGAAAATTGATTATTAAACACTAATGAAATTATTCCAATCTCATTTGTAAAAATGAATTTAAAAATCATAAAAAGTTTCACATTCAGTCATTAGTTAAATGTCTCCTATAGTGTCCAACTAATCAAATCGTATATAGATGAGGCTTAAAAAGTGTGCACAACTTGAACAACTTGAGCACTTATTAGGTCGATCATCGTTTATTTAATAGTCATGATCATAGTTTACAAAATGGTTGTTGCAAGTCAAGTCGGTTAAATGGTAACATCAACCGCTTACGCTCATTAATATTAGTGAATGACAGATTTGAGGAGCACAAAGTGTAAAGGTATGCCACACTGTTTATCAGCAACGTAGGCGGGTATAAAAGATAAATTCAAAACATAAATATTTTGTTATTCATCTCCTTATATTACTAATTTCTTGGTTGGTTTGAACGAGTGTGATTGGTTATATAATAGAGCCCACGCATATTTTTCTGTTACTCGCTAAAGTGTTAATTTCTTAAACCATTTGATGACCCATTCACATGCTTTTTTGTGTGTGCATAATAAATGTTTAGATTCACTTTGTCAATTAATTTGTTCACTCATCTGTCATATTCGTAAGCTCGTCGATCGTTTGATGTATGCTGTGTTGAGAAAAAAACTTGTTAGAAAAACCTTATTAGGGCTTCTAAGAATTAAAAACCGTTGATGGATCATTGGAATCACGGTTCTCAGTGCGGTTAACATACAAAAACAAGTTCAAAATCTCTGGTATTTTCATTATGAGATGGCTGCTCCCTGGTTCTAGGTTTATAATGCTAGTCCAAGATTGATATGAATCGGTAGCAATCATTGATTTGTTGTATATTGTGTATTTCACTGTTTGTTCTCACTTCATTTGTGTTTCACTGTATCTGATGTTATTTACTATAAACTTTGTGTAAACAGTATTATGTAGTCATAATATTTTTGCATATTTTATCTGTAAATGATTTCGAATCGTTGTAATCATTATGGATAAAATAGTTTACTAAAAATTTATGAAAATTCCCTTTATTTTCTTCAAGTTCAAATAAAACCGAAGATGTCTCATTTTAATTACAAAACCATTTCATAGAAAGAAATACATATTTTAAATGATTGAGATCGGTCGATATGAAATCCTTTTAATTGAATTCGTGCAATCTAGAACAAGTCATCCATGTTATAAAAGATATTTCTCCTGAGTTCAAACTAATACTACTTAGCGTTCCAGTCAGAGAAGTTATCACTTATCACGTCGAACTGAGGTTTGACAATATATCACGATGACGCATTATAACTGAGACGATGTCAGAGTAGACCGCTTGCAATTAGTTACAATTAACCGTCTTACATCCAGAACAAGTTAACATTACTCAGTCTAAATTATCTATTGTAAATAATAATTAAGGTTCAGTTACCATTATCGAATAAAAAGGCATTACGTTGGTATCCCTTTAGTGATCGAACAACACTGATAAGAAATGGTTTTTCAATGAAATTAAAATACATTTCCAAAAATATAGGTTTTATTGTCATTTAGTGTCAACCTATTCGAGATATCATCATACACGTACATTGTTGCGATTCATTTATTTGATACAATATTTATATATTATAGAAAAGATACTACTCAGCAGTCCATACCGATAAGGATGTGATGAAATTTCAATTAGGCTCCCAGTTTTTGGAAATTATAAATTTGAATTACAAAGCAACTGATTTACAAAAGTAAAAAATATTTCTATTCGATCGTAAAGGGATAATTTATGAAAAAAAAACATGCTATGCAGATATGATACGCCATAATGGATTTATGGTTTAAATCAATTAATTATTTAAACTATGAGAATCCTACAATCTCCATAAATCCTAATCATAATCATGCGCTCATCAGTGAAGTAGTTACAAGATGCAACTGTTGAAATTCTCTTTAGGCGCCACTTACTAATGCGAATCAACTATGTTGGATATGAAACTGTTATTCATTTTAAGTAATGAACAAATGTTGAGCAATAATATGAAGCTAAAAGTCAACACTGATGGATGTCGGCTAATTAATCTAGAGTAAAAGTGTCCATACACAGTCCTCCATTCGAGGTCAGGTGGCAAAGTTATAGCTGTCCACTGTTGAGGTGTCCCATACCAGAACGAAACGGTTGACCAGTGAGTGCGCCAAGCTTTACAGTCGTGGTCTAGCTATGATAAGCTCGTGATTTAAACTATAAATCTATATAAATATATATGTATATTATTTTATTTATAGGATTCACAGATATTTAACCTTTGACAAATGCATTATACATTGAGATTATCATCAATTATGTTTTATAAAATATTTGCAGAGTAAAAAGAAAACTAAGAAATTGTAAAATAGAGAGAGAGAGAGAAAACTTTACTTGTACAAATAGTTTCTTTCATTAAACTATTAAAATAAAATGATTTAAGAGTAAACATAGTGAAATTTCGAACTGAATAACACTGTTTCCAATTTCCATCTCTGGTTTTCAATCGTAAACTGCTTTCCATTAAGTTTAAATGCGTACATATTTGATTGTATTTTGTTTTCAAAACCATCTTTATTTTGCTCACTAAAATGACATTGTTCTTTGAGATGATACAAAAAAGTCAACAGTCATTCGTCATTTTGGTGAAACAATGAGTGGCGCATTGTTTTTTTTGCCATTGATCGATGATGATGTAGAGAAAATGGGGCAAGTTTTTATTCATTATGAACAAGTATATAAATTAACCGATATTCAATAGGAATGAAATAATTCATTTGTGTTTTTTCAATTAAAAAGCGATATAAATGAGCAAAAAAATTATTTGATACAAAGAAAATAACAGTAGACAAACAGATAGAAGAAAACATATTCAAAGCAGACACATAACAATAGTAGTATAAGTTTCAAACATTTACAACAGATTTAGAAATAATTTTACAATATATCGATGTTGTCATGTAATAAAATATGATTGTCTATCACATAAGTAGTGAAATACATAAGAAATTAGCTGAAAATATATACGACAGAGAGAGAGAGAAATAATCTAAATGGTACATGAATATAGTTGTAGCTTTCTTGCCTACTATTTTCCATTTGTTTTAATTCTTGACTAGTTACACATAAAAAAAAATGAATAAATGCACTTATCTTTTTAATTTTCAAATTATACACGAATGATTTGTGAGTTGATTTTTGAAAGAGATTACCAAAAAAAAGAAACAAACAGCAACTATAAACTCTTGAATAATCTATGATGTTTTTGATTGGGTATCATTTACAGGAACAGTTTGATCATCTTTCCATTGTATGATTTTAGCATCATTTTCATCGGATGTTTCATCTGCTGCAGCATGTGCAGTTCGTTTGGATAGACCATGTTTTTTACGTTGTGCTTTACCAGCACGACGACTAGATAATTGAGCTTGTTCTTCAGCGATTGTTTCAAATTTTGCACGTTGATAAATATCTCTTGATCGTAATAGATTTAAAGCGATGATATCACATACAGTTGGTGCCTAAAATATACATATATATTCATAAGATATGAATATGTCATAAATATTGCTGATGATATAACTATCGATAGTACTAATTTTCAAATAAAGCAGAAAGGATAATAATGATGACAATGATAACTTTGTACAAATTTCTAACTAGACAGTGATAATAAAGAATAGTTTTTGTCTCTTATGCTTATAGATAATAGAAGTTTTTCTAATTTTCTTATTGTATTCTAAACAAAAATGTGATATTTGTACTTTTCAGTTATTTTCATCACTTGATCTGGAAGAAAATGTAACAACTTAGAATGGTGTATTTCGGCTTTTTACAACTTATGCATTCTATACAAAGCTAATGTCAGTATATCAACTGCATATGCTTTCATTTGTAAATTGCAAAAAATATTTAAAAATACGTTTAAGTAGCAAAAGTTCCATTGCTTTAAGGAAAAAACAGATGATTTCGCAATATCTGAAAGAAAGTTTTGCAGAATCATGTTAAAAATAATGTTAACAAAGAATTCATATTGATAAATAATATTAATTTTTTAAGTATTTCATATGATGAAAAGTACTAGTAAATAATGAAAGCTGACTTAATGAAATTCCGATAATTCTTTCAGAAGTATGCATCCACGGCTCCTGCTACTCGCAGGATTCGAACCCAGGAACATCGGTCTTGCGCTGGAATGCCTAACATCTGGACCACTACGGCGGCATCTAATGTTGTTAATGTATAACTTCGATCAACCGCGGTCTTGTGCATTCAGGTTTCTAATGGTGGTCTAACATTGACTGATTGATTGATTGGTTTAAATTAATTCAACAATTTCCAAAATCCTATCACGCAACTTATTCAGAAGTGAGGGAATACGCCTAAATCACATCAGATATCACTGTCTGCTGTTGTTGTTGTTCTTCTTCTTATATTTTGTATGATTTCGTAGTGAAATAGTTATTGAATCTCAATATGATAAGTATTTTGTATAATATATTTGTAGATATTATTTTTAATTTAGAATTTAGTTCAAAATGACATACAATATGCATTTGTCCAAATAATTTCCTAGTACAAATCTACTTTTGTGCTTCACTTCATTGTACTGTAAATGTGATATTTGGTAAATAATTGTTCAATATCATTAAAAATTTATATATTTAAACAATCTTCTAGTTGTATATATCCTTTTTATATTGTAGGGCCTATGAAATAAATCTCATGTACATGTAGGTTTGGTCTATTTTCTTGTACCGTGTACAATCTCAATATTGTTCCTGTTCTAAGTAGCAGTTTGGTGTGTGTGTGTGCATCTGTGTGATTAAATCATGACTTTATTGAACAAAGCTTCGAAATATTTATGATGAATAAACATTTTCTACAAAATGAATATCTTTTTAAATTTAAAAGGATAAAGAACAGTTGTTTCATATACATGAATGTTGTACAGTAATAAAACTGTTTTGAATTCGTTAGAATTTTGTAAATTTACGCTGTCAATTATTTGTGATATAATAACAATAATAATAATAATAAAGAAAATTTACTAATTTGTATCATAACATGACTAATTTTTCAGCTAAGTAATATAACCTCTTGTTCATTATGGAACCATTAGCCTGTTTTTTTTCTCTATAGAAATGATTGGTGAAAAATATAACCATTGTAGAAGGAGGTAGTTAAAAGACTAAGCTATTGATAAATCATTATTGATACATTAATGATTCATCTGGACAAGTTATGGTTTATTCATACGAAAGAGTTCTAGGATTTGACTATGCCCAGTTCGGTCTCGTGTGTTGTTACGGGTATGAGGGCGGATGTCACTTTCCGGCTGCCCACACCATGGAAGGGTACCTCTTGAGGAACCTGGAAAGGAAATCGGATTAGCGTTGGTATCAGAGACCTGGGAGCGTGACCACAGAGTCCAAAGGACAACTGTTTGAGGCCAGTCACGCACGGCCTTTTTATGGGAAGTTTTTAGTGCGTTAGCTCAAAGACGTTCAAAGACGTTACCGTCGGAGATGGAAATCTGTGAGGTAGGGTGAGGTGTGACATGTTTATGGTTGACCTTTTCTAACCCTCCCTTCCTTGTGAGAAGGCAGCATCGCTGCACCTTACTGCTGTCACACCTCTCTACAGTCAGTAGCACGAATTCCCCCTCAGATATTTAGTAGCTGCTTTTAGTCTCATCGCTCTCCAATCCACCTTCCCGGCACGGTAAAACCTACGGGAACATATGTTCCAGCCAATATAGCTCGGTTGGGTCACCACCATAGGCAAGCCAGACCACCACGTCTAGGTAGCAGATACGCTCGGGACAGAAAGGTATAATAACAAATTATGCATTAATTACTATTAAAATGTTTAAATGTTTGAACAAGCATTTTGCTATAACAGGATGAATGTTGGGAAAGTTGAATTTTCTGAACTATCCTACTTGAAGTTAATATGTTTGTATATTTGTTCCTTAATTACTTAAGTTATTGCATTTTATAATTTTCTGTTTGTAAGCTTTCCTGTAATACATGATCTCATGTTACATGTTTAAATCCTTCTTAAATTAATTTTAGTTTATACTACTCTATAATACTCCATTCTTTTTCATTTATGCCTTGATTATGCCGTTAATGTAACTTCTTAATTATGTTGATGTATTTTTTATATGAGTATTGACTTGTGATTGAATTGAGTGTAATAGAAACTGTCTGCTGAATTCAATCTAAATCTAAGGCATAGGATAGAGAAAGGCATGAACGCAACGGACTGATACGAGATTAACTTGTGTCTGTTCAATGTTTATTGTGCTGGCGAAGTCAAGGACAGTAGAGTGTACATGAAATGGTAGACTATGTGTGGATAAAGTTATAATCGTCATTCTGATTCGTGATTAGCTTTACTGAAGCTATCAAGTACTAGTTATTAAGATTTAAAATATGACAAATGTTTTATCATTTAAAATGACTTACCAAACCAAGTAAAGCTAAACCTGAACCAATATTCATTGTCAGTGGAAGAAGATGAAATTTACCAGCTTCACCGCTAACATGAATAACAAATCTTATACCATAAGCTTTTATCAAATCACGATAATTAGTTCCATTTTCACTGTAAAAGTGAGCATAACTGTAAAATAAATTATAAAATAGAATGAATTTAAAAATAAGATAGCTATCGTTAATAATTACTTTTGTCTTTACAATTAATAAAAGTAATGAATGTGTAAGACAATTCATTTTCAATACGTATTTTGTAAAAGTTTATTTTACAGATTTTAAAGCTTATTGATCAAACAGATGTAATCGGTTATATACGATAAAAAATAAGTAATTAATCAAATTATTTATTCCTTTATTTGAGAAAATCGATTCCAGTTAGCCTATTGAGGCTGTGTGGTAAGTTACACATCTGAGTAGTTGATAAATGGCAGTGTTACACACAGACAATATTGAGATGATTTGCACAGTGATGTGAAATACTAAAAAAAAGAATTACAAACTATATACTAATTGAAAAGAAATTCCTTCAAACATGCTTATCATTCTGGTTTAATCAGAGGAGTTTACCAGTTCACATACAAATTATATTATTAAATAATATATTCTGATAGAAAGTATTTTCAATGTAAACTGATCTTAGCAAAAATATCTTTAAAAAATGGAGGCCTTGAGTAGCTGTTTTGTCCTACAATGAGTATGGCTGACTAGCTCATAAGTAATCTAGGCAAATGAGCCGGCATCTAATAGTGTGTATCTATAAGTTAAACCAATTCGCGATACTGATCGTCGTTCGTCCGTTGATTGTGGTGAATAGCCATCTATTACCCGACATGAATGAAGGTCGTCAGATGTCGGCCAGGCATAAGCCGTTCACATGTGAGATCGACGATCTCAGATTTTATTCTTTGTGATGTAGTGGAGGTGGCGCACTTTTAACGTGTTTCATACTAAAATGAAACAGTTTTCCATTATCCCCAGATTTACAGAATTTACTCATGATTTGATATAAAAGCTCTACTATCTTCACAGTGCACACCACTGGCTAAGAAATAAACTGATTTTCTAAAGGATAGAAATATACATACGTATGAGCATTTATGCATGTGTTTGAAAGCCCACTCTTGTCTTCTCTTTCAGTGATCAATTGGTTTATTGGCGCGAAGCATGTTCTGTGTCAGTATCAGATCGTGGACACGCAATATCCATAATACTAACACCAATACTTAAATTTAATTTCTCACATTAATTCATAATCTCTGTTTCATCTCACTTAGTGGATGGATTTCATTAAAGCCACTTCAGTGTTACTCCAAGGTCGTCCATGGTTGATGATCGCATGGATGATAACAAATCAATTTTTCATTCCCTTAGTTTGTTACAGATTAAGCTTGTACATCACTTAAGAGTTGTTGTTTCCCTATAAGGTAAAATAGTTAATACTGTTCCCAACAGAATCTTAAGAAACTTGATTGTATGAAATATTGAGTGGTTAAACGGGGTTTTATCGAGGATCTTTAAATTCAGTTTTGTAATAAACATTACTGCTCATCAAGGCATATCTGAGCTTCTGAAGAAATTTACCCGCTGTCTCAGTAAAAGATGTGACCATTGAATAGGCAATGTAGACCATGACTAGCTGAGTCATATTCTTTCTTATGTATCTATCGTATTGAATTTTTATTTATGTCAATTATGTTTTTGTTTAAAAATGAACAATAATCTAGAAGATTTTCTTGGTCTGATATAAAAGAAATAACAAAAGTTACCAAACTGGTTGAGGAAAGCACCGAACTGCATTATAAAACAAGCCCTCACATGGAACCCTCAAGGTTAAAAGAAAAGAAGAATGCCAGGGGACAAATTACTCGGAGAGTTGCAGACAGACGTGAGAAGAATGAACGAAAATAGGAAAGAACTGGAAAGGAAAGCTCAGTACAAAGTAGGTTGGAGAATACTAGTCGGCGGTCTAAGCTCCACTGAGTGGTAACCGGCGTAAGCAAGTAGATAAGTACTTAATTGGTGCGAGGTCTTAAGGTAGGTGTAAGAAAGTACTCTCTGGTATCCGCCTGAAAGTTCTCTAATCCTCTGGGTTGTAATTGTCGATTCATTTTCTCAATGATATATAAGACACAAGATAATATGCATAAATAAGCAGATGTTGATCAAATACTTTATGTGAGTAAACGTATTTTGCTTGCTAATTTTTCGGTTCAGAGACTTATTAAAAAGTTGTATTTTACAGGGAGGTAGGTTATATCAATATATAAACGCATATATATATATATATATATATATATATATATATATATACCGGATATGTTAAAACAGGAAGTGAAATAATAATGATACTACTGATAATAGCTAGAATATTAAATTTTAAACCTATCTATTATAGGTCAAAATGAATTTCAATAGTTGATATGATTGTAGTACCAGCAATTATGAAAACAAAGCAATTAAATTGACAAGTTGGAAATAACAAAAGAACGAAATATATTAAAGAGTAAATAACAGATGAGAATTTTTGAACTCATTTCAATATTTTGATAGAGTTATGAGTAGATGGAGTGTTAATATGAATGATGTAATGTATTTGTTCTACAATTTTTTTTAAACTTTCCAATCACAAATATGCTGGATCTAGGTATTTATAAATGAAAATTAATGAAAGATTTACTAAATAAAACTTGGTTAAATATAAAGTTATAATTGAAAATTGATGGGTGGAAAGTACATATAAGAAGTTATCAAATCGTCCAAGACTGTAAAATAACTTAAAGATTACTAATTCGGATTCACAACCAAAAATCTAAAGATTAGTTTTAAAAACAAACTAATATTTCTTTCTGAATTTTTATCTTTAAGGCTTTTCAAACGATAATAACCTTGGAAGTAGGATGAAATTCATTTTTCACAACCTTATACTTACAGTTTTCATGAATTCACCAATGATTAGCTTCGAGAGGAAATTATCATTGCTCGATTGAATAGTGAGGTTTAGTGTGAGACAGTTTCCTACTGCAAGGAATGGAAGAGGGTCATTCAGTATAGTAGATTGTTTGAAGTTAGACGTTTGCGTCATTAACTCATAGCTCACTTGTCTTGGGTTTAAGCTTACTCACGTGAGACTGAAAGTCCTGAGATTGATCGTTAGTGGTGAGGTAGTGAGTAGTCCCGTGCTAAATTCAAAGGACCTTCCAGAACTGTCAAGTTTTAATAGTGGCCTAACTTTGATTGGTTGATAGTTTCGAAAAAATCCAATAATCTTCACAACCTCGTAGTGGCTATAAAATTTGAATATATCTTGTTGAGCAAACTTACATTATTAAGTAAAGACTGAGTTTGGTTATGTTTAAAATCAGTTCATAGATAATGGCATTGATCCTAATTTATTAATTTTCGGATTAAAAATAACAAGTATTTCCCAGGTATAAGCACTCAATTTCCGTCATACATTATAAAAAATGTTACGGAGACATGTATAAATTTATCGAAGTCAAATACAATGAGTCGTTCTTTACTCAGTACAAGTATAAGTTAATAAGTAGCTGAATGTGAGGAAAATGCTATCGAAATCTCACTTTTTAAAAAATTCAAAACAGATCACAACATCTATTCAGTGAATGTTATGTCTGAAGGAATGGTAACTCCAGGAGGTAACTTATGAAGCATTATTATATACGTTCTTATTGTTTATTTATTGGGTAACTAAATTATTGTTAAACACTTGTTTTCTTTTTATCAACAGCTCTCGGTTGACGTAATGACTACAGCTATACGGTCTATTATTCCTAATTTATTCTCAACTTGCTACTTACAATTATCAATATTCACAGCCACATTTTGGCTTGATTATATGTAATTGTTTTTTATTTTATGGTGTGATGAGGCCTGATCTAACTGTACGTAAACTACATCTGTCAGAAGTACAAATCTAGTGCTGACTAGTCTTAACTTTTGGATTTGAAGGCACGTCAGAGTAAAGCTATAGAATCGTGAACTATTAAGAACTTAGCTGTTGACTCAAGATTATTAATACTCAGACGTAGGCCGATCGGTGTTTTCTTCACAGGCAATTAGCCAGCAGTTCAAAATCATAACACCCTACTTGAAATAATAATAATCGACTAGAGTGACGTGTCATCCGATAATATCGACAGTTCTAAGAGTGATCTAACTGGTTATTATAAATTGAATAATGACTTGGTACCCAATAACTTGTGCAATGACGAACATATTGATAATGATAATCTCTGTTGGTCAATCCATCACTACTTTACATTCAGGTTCAATCCTAATCACAGTGACAGAAATTTTGTTTCTTAGCATTCTGTTTCTTCTAGCGTTCCCATCATTGGAAGCGTTCAGAAATGCAGTAAGAGAATTTGAAAAGGTAAAGTTTTATGACTCTTTATTTATAGTAGCATCAGATTAAAAAAACTCTACGTCAGGTTTATACTCTGTACTGGTGGTTGAAAAACTGTTAGAAGATATCGAAATTGTCCCCAAACAAGAAAGTAATTTCAACAGTCTTATAAACTCGTCTTGTTTGAAACTTCATCATTTGAGGCTCAGGGTTAATCATGTTTAACTACACATAACTCCTAAAATTACTTATGTTTTGAAAATCTTGTATTTCTTAAGTAAAAGTTTTGTCCTATATGGGTTAGCTCATAGTGTGTTTTTCAAAATAACAATTTGTGTCTTAGGTGACATATAAATAAGCTGTCACTAACTATTTGTCTATTGTTAGTAAATAATACTATTTTTTAAAAAAAAACAATCACGTGATTTGATTTTCCTGATTTAATTTTCAGTTTAATTTTCTTAAAACATAAGTACTGTTTCATCATGCAAAAATTAAAAAAACCAATCTGTAAAACTATCTGAACACATATATCTTTAGTTCAGTTGTATGAAGATTAGATAAACTGTCAACCATAAATGAAAATCATACTATTCTATTTTGATTTTATACACGAAGAAATTGTAGACCTTTTTGCTGTCATATCAATCGGTTAAAAGCAATGACAAATAAAGGAACTAGGCAGAGCAGTAATGAAAGAATGTACATTTTTTAAAATTATTATCGCTACGGCGTTTTAGTGAGACCAGGAAAAATGTGTA